TGCTCTTTGTAACATACTCTCTGCATGACTCTGGGGAACTTTCAGCTTTCTTTCTTTATTATAGACACTAAACAACATGGAAAACAACTTCAGATCCTAATAGTTACTTCCTGAAATTCTTTAAAAGAACTGATGCACCCATGCCTGAGACTATGGTTCAAAAAGGTTAAAAATGCCTGGCCAACAGTAGGACATGCCTATAACTTGTTAGATAGCTCACTGTTCATTGTTAAGTATCTCCAGATGACCAAATCTGGTCCCTCCTTGTGACCAAGAGTTCCCCAGACCCAACTCCTGTTTCAGGCCAAGAACAGAGTCCTGCTCTTGCCAGTTCCAGGAGGATCTTAACTTTCTGGCTTCCTTGGAGCAGTGTCAAGTCTGAGTTTTCCACAACAGCTGTCTCCTCTCCATGCTGCAGGATTCTGAAGATGAACTCACGTTAGATGTTAGATAGAGGTTTCTTTACATCTCAGAGGCTGGATGCTTCTGAGGTGAAAAATTATTGTCCCTTGGTCTAAGGTAAGTTAGTCTGTGTAACTCTGGTCTTTTCACCAGCAAAGTTATAACCTGAGATCAAGAGAGCATAGAGAATTAAATAACCTTTGAGTCCTGTGTACCTGAAACCTTGGGTTTTTTTTGTTTTTTTGGTTTTTTTTTTTTGGTTTTTTTTGGGTTTTTTTTGTTTGTTTTGAACATTTTATGCATACCAATCCCTAATTGATAGCACATGAAATAGTTAAGCAGAATTGCATGTGTTCTGATGAGGTTAATTACAGGAAGCCACAGGTTGGAAAATGGCTTCAGATGTAGTCAGGCAAAATGCTTGAGAAAGAGCCCTTTCTGTTAAAATAGATCTGTTGAGAGTTCATCCCATTTTGTCCTTTCAGGGTGCCAGAATGGTGGTCTGCAATCTTCTCCAAGTGGCCATCAGCTGAGGATGGATCTTTAGTTCATTGATTAAGATTCTTAATCTTGCTGAGATGAATGATGCAGTCATTTGAGCCAGCTTGGTGGTGTTAGAAAAGACACAGAGCACAGATTTAATATATAAGGCTGTTTTTTTTTTTTGTTTGGTTGTTTTTTTGTTTTTTTTTTTTTTTTTTTTTTTTTTTTATGCAACAATGACAATTAACCAGAGGAAGAGGTTATAGGAGAAATAATAAATATTACCTGTCTTTCATTGCCAGTCACTGTAGTAACTGAAATCCCACAGCCCGTAAGAAGCACTGGTATAACCTGGCAGTCCCTTTTCAGGAAAAATTAAGTCCAAAACGAACCCTGAACTGTCTTTACCAGCAATCAGAGGAGGTCAGTGTCAGGTACTGCCCAGTCACCAAATGCTGTTCCTCCCTTCAGAGAGCCCAGTTACAGCCACTGGCAGCTGGCTCTGGAGCACAGCACATGCAGAGCTGTCCCTGAACACTGACACTGAGATGAGCAGCCTTTGGAGGCACTGGGACACAGAGCAAAAAGAAGTGCCCTGTTCAAAAGCTGTGCATTGGACAAAACCTTTCTCATCCCCACAGAGGATGACATACATCCTGATGTATGCCATCCTAGGGAAGCCAGAGAGGAATTTCTGCCGTGCCCACAGAGAGGCAGTCAGTAAACCACAAACTTTCTCCAACCCTACAGTCACATACGTGGCAATGAGCCTGACTAAAGCTCTGTCCCACTGCTGCCTCTGTTCCCAGGGCCTAAGCTGACAAGCTAAAAATTTAAAGCTAATATCTGCACTGCAGCACAGTGCAGGTGCTTTGCTGGTATCCCCAAGATCTCTTCTGTTACTGTCTCCGTTTCAGTAAGGCCACTGGGGGCATAAAATTTGATTAAGGGAGTGAGCAAATTTTAATCCAGGGTAGTGATACCTCCCTGCACTGAGCAGCTGCTCCTCTCAGAGCTGCCACAGCCAGCCCTGATGCTCATTAGCAAAGCAAAACTTCTAGAACACTGGTTCTAGGGACTCATCTCTTAAACCTGGGCTGGTAAAATTTCTCTGCACTCTCTCCTGAGTGAGGGAGCCATCATCAACCATAGTCCCTATCTGGTATGTGGTCAGGATTTTTGCCTCATATAATCACCTAAATGAAAGAAAAATCATAAACAAATTTCAGCTTTAGTTCATTTACACTATAGTCTCTACCTTGGTGACAAGAGGAACTTAAAACAGCATGGCTCCAATGCTTTTGTGAGTGTTGTATAATTAGAGCAATGTTTAACCTCCCACTTGTGTTTCTGGAAATTTAAACTACTTAACTAACTTTTCCTTGTTGGTCCTTTCCTCCCTTCCTTCCCCTCCGCCTTTTTTTTTTTTTTGGACAAAAGTGCCTTGGGCATTGGACACAATATTCTATGTAAATTAGAGCACTACTTTAAATGTATGATGAAAACTGCTGCAAAAAATATAGGAAAACATAATGCTGTCTTACTGTCTTGTCAGGGCAGAACCTGATGATACTTAGAGGTGCTGTGAGTGAGCTCAAGTCCAGAGCTGCCTTTCCAACTCTCTGTCTGGTCACTGGTTTATGTAAAATAAATGTAACATTTTCATTTCTCTCATAAGTTACTCTAATGCAGAAGTTAAGCATTACTTTATCTGAGTTGCACATAGGCTTTCTAATGAATATTGACCCTATTGATAACTGGGATATTTTTCTCTTTTTTTAAATTGAAATTTTAATATTATACAGTCTGTAATGTGGATGTAGTAGCTATGCCTAGGCTGAGTGCCCTGTGATGAGATCCTGGTTTCCATCCACAGGGTCTCCAGGTTGGGATCAGATCCCTGGGCAGGATCAGAGGTTGGCAGCCCCACTCACCTCTCTGCTCTGGCCGCCCAGACGGGGAAAGCTGGAACCGGGACTGGGATCACTCGCTTTATGTTTGTGCTAGCATAGAAATGGGTTGCTGCTAGGCTCATATCTGGCCCATGGGGTAGGGAATTACTTCCAAATCCAACAGCTCAGCTGTAGCCAAATATCCCAAAATAAGTAGATTTATTCACTTTGAGACATAACAATATTTTTTATGTGAATTTGGGGAGACTGGGGGGTTATGAGAGAAATGGTCAGTGCATTGCTTCAGTGTAGTTGAAGTTTCACAACTTCAGCATGTATCATAAATCTAACATACCTAGCTCAACAGAGGTGTGAGAATATTACACTGACAATGTGTATGGAAGGTCTGACTACTCATGATCATTACTACTAGAAATTTGTAATCTCATATGAATTACAGAAGCTGTGTCATATTTCAGTCATCCAATATTAGTGAAAAAATTTGCTTCACCTGTGTGTTCATTAGGTATTTTGAAAAAAAAATGAAATACCTACTAAAGTGTTGCTTTGAGAAAACAATCTAATAGATAATACGAAGTTCAGGATAACAAACAATTTGTCAGAAATAGCAAGAAAATTCATCCAGTGTTCAAGAAATGAAGATGAGAAACCTGCAAATCAAAGTGAAATTAAAAAGTTCTCTTAGTAGTGAACAGCTTTTGAATCTATTTTATTCTTCTTTACAAGAAAATCCACTGAAGATTCAGAATTAATTCATCCTATTGAATATTTTTTTCATTTTTTAAGGATAATAAAGTTAATTAATGGGAAAACATGGTGTAAATCATCATAGGTCCTCTGGTATCAACAGAGAAGCTCATTTGTGTAATCTGAAGGTGTATTTCATGCTGCAAATTCAAATTAATGTTTATGACAGTGCAGCCAATGCCAATGCCTGAGCTGAAGCATTTATTCTTGCAGGCTCAGAAGGGAGCACAGCTGATAGAACCTGAAAGCTTAAAAGTACAATGTTTTGAGCAAAGGAACCTGGAAAGCTTAGGAACATATGAAGAAAACGTTAGAATTAAATTAATTTACAAAAAGTGTAGGTGGGTGCAGCTAAGGCAAAATAGTCTGTAGGACTGGGAGGCTGTGAAGATCAACAACCTTCAAAAAACATTGCATCAAAAGAAATACCATGGAGCTGCTGTTGAATAGAAACACTAATTAATGAACTTTGAATAGAATAAAACCACAAAAATTGCCCATGAATTCTGTATTCCCCACTCAAAAGCACCACACCATGGTGCAGAGATCAGTAGGTCTTTCTTATGAATGCAGTTTAATAGTAATTAGGACAGTTGGAGGTTTTTCCTTGCTTTCTGTAATCCTCTGTGGTTCTGATGGAAAATTATTTGGGCCACAATGTTTTTTACCAAAAAGATATTGACAAGCTGAAAGCTGTACAGTGAACAGCAATAATAAAACACAGGGGACATAGGACAGATTGCATGAGATATAACTAAAATATCTTAATACATTCTGTTTGTTTTTCAAGCATCTCAAAGGCATTAGCACCAAGTCAGAAAGGTATTTCACATGGCATAGAGATGTCTAACTGAGACCTCAAAATGAAGCTTAAAAAAAGGGCCAAATTATACTTCATGACCAGAATATTTCCTAGTCAATAGCTGTATCAGAGAAGAAGCAAAATCCTTATGAACATAAAAGCCTGTTGCCCTGGATATTTCCCAAAAAGTGTGCAACCCTTGCAGGGGTAGTGGTCAATGAGACCCTTCTTCCACAATAACTTGTCAGATTATCTGGTATACTTGAGAATAAATCCCAAGAGTTTAAATAGGGCTTAAAGAGCCATCAGACTTGCCTTAACATGCCAGCATTTTGAGTGCTTAACCCTGTAGCAAACTTAGCCAAGTTGCCACAGGAAGCTTAGTCATGAGGCCTCGTTTGTAATGTACAGCTCTCCCTGATGTGCTGCAGTAGATAAAGCAGCCTGTAAAGCCTGTGGGTTTTTTGGGTGTATGTGAAAGTTTCCATGGTAATGAATGTGCGGCTTCAGAAGAAAAGAGCCCTGAAACTCCAAGCTGATGCTTCTGGGGTTTTTTAATATGATACTAAAATGTTATGATTCTATATTTTGATGATTCTGCATTTCTAACCATCTCCAGCACTGTACAGAGAATGGAGATGAACATTGGTGAAAAAAAATGATGCTAAAGACAATTTCAAGAGTCTGCATCTACTTGCTTGCAGGTGGGAGCTGAGGGAAACCATAGCATGTGTGGTGATTTATAGCATGTTGGAGTGGTAAAGCAGGGCTTCTAAGGAAAACCTGGATTTACAAACTGCTGGAGTGCTGGTGAATGAGACTGAGACCAGATGGTGGTGATGGGCAGTTGGTTATACAATGGACAATTGCCTACTGCTCAAACTGGGCTGTGTGGCCACAGGAAGCTCAGGTTGCTGATGGAGCACGTGCCCTTCCCTGAGCCACAGTGCAACTCTGCCAGGCCTCTGGACACATCAGCTCTGGCTGGAAGGAGGGAGAAGCCTGAGGGGCAGACACAGGCAGAGAAGCCAAAATAGCAAGCTTCATGCTCAGCAGATCTGAAAACCTCCCCTGCTTCTTGAAGCTGTTCTTATCTGGGCAGCCACCACAAGCATTTTCGGACATGTTGACGGGTTGGAGGCACACCAGAGGTGTTTCTCGGGAGCTCATGTGGATAAGGATTTTTTTTCCAAACTGAAAAAAAATATTCTAAGCATGGTCATGCTAAAAGCAGGAGGTTCAGCTTTCCCTGTGCTCAGGAGTTTCACAGCTTGTGCCCATGCTTTTCTGATTAGAATCTGTTATTGCATTTGCTTTTGCCTCCTAATAGTATGCCTGTGTTGGACTCCCATTTGAATTTCCAGACAGACAATTGGTGATCTGTACCTTGATAATTTTCAGCGCTTGTTCCAGTTCAGGAAAAAGGGGCATATTGTTCTGACTGGAGCATAGTAACAAATAGGTTGTACTGCTCCTTACACTGCCTGTGTTCAATTTGCCTTTTAGGGTGCCAAAACTGGTTGCTGCACAAGTGCCGTAAAACCCCTAATGTATGATGCATTTTGTGGATTTCTTCTGATCTGCAAATCAGAGAGGCAGGTTGGATTGAATGAACATCGTTGCCATATGCCCACAAATTACATAGACTCTCAGAGACACACATAGAACTAAAATGCTTTGCACTACTCAGAGCAGTGCAACAGCATCTCTGGTTGCAGTGAGCAGCACTGCCCAAAATGCTGTGTCAGTGGATCACAAGGATTTTTCCACCGAGTCACTGCACAATCTTCCCTGGGGCAGGGAGCAAGACTGTTACACATCTGCTGCTTATCAGATGGAAATGAGCACAGATCTGGAAGAAATGAGGTGAAGTCTTTTGGTTTTTGCAACAGCTTGCTTGTTTTCTCCACTGTGTTTGTGTTTGCTCAGAGAGGACAGAATTTGCACTTCTTGCTTCTGAAGAGCTGAACTTCACTATTGTTTGCTGAATGCAGAACTATGCAGAATCTGAACATCTTTCAGAAAATACAACAGAAAAAAAGATTCACTGCTGTTATTTTGAGATGCTGTTTGTTCCTACACCAAATCCTGCTGGTTTTATTTACATGTGCCTTTTTGTGATTTCACTGTTTTCTGCAAATCCCACTGAATAAATGTTTTCTGTGCTCCCTCAGCTGGGTCTGCAGCCACAGTTTAATAACAAGCATGGGTTAGCAAGGGCTGTGCACAGCAGAGGTGTCTTGCCATATAAAGCACACAGGATAATGTCATCTCTATGCAAAATTTAAAAAAGGAGAAAAATGTTGGCTAAATGGAAAAAGAAGATAAAATTAGTACAAGAAAGAGGACAAATTTGCAAAGTTGTAGGCATTTAGAAATAAAAAATGTAAAAGCTGCAAAAAAGTTATTCAGTGTCCTCTTAATCACATCCGGACAATATTTAAAGTACTGTGTGAAACAAGGGGACATAAGCAAATTTCCCATCTTTAATGGCATGCACCACATTTGTCCCATCATTAGACATGATAAACCAATGAGAAAAAGAAAGCAAGGGGTAAAACCACTCTTTGTCATGCAGCTTCTCTTACACATTCACTGCAGGGATTTTTCAAAGCTGCACATGTGCCGACGGACACTGGCTGGTGGGCGAGAACTCTGGCTGCCTCTTCCTGAAGATTGAAAAGAAAAAGACACCCAGTGAGTGGCTATACACGTGTGCACACATGGTGGCTATACCACTCAATAGGTGCCTGTCCCTGACCTATGTCTGTGGGCTTTCCCATCTTTCATTCTCTTATCACCTGAAATTCCACATAGATTTCTCCTTGGCTCCAGCACAATACTGGTTAAAATTGATTTTCACGATGTTCATTCTGCTTCCTGTGCTGAGCCTTGATGCACTTTACATACCAGATGGCAAGGGCTGCTGTGCATCTAGCTGTCAGAGGAACTTCGCCCCTGGTATTCTCAACATAGGATGAAATGATGAAAAAAGGAGCATGTGCCCCTCACATCTTATTTACAAAATTATCACCAAAATTTTTTGCTGGTGGATTTTTTAATATATACTCAGCTGCTGTTTTTTTCTTTGTCTCTCTTCCCCTAATGTTTTTATAAATACTTCTTTTACTTTTGGAGCTCTGAATGAATAGTCACTAGCTTGCATTATATGTGATTTCACTACTGTGCTTCTTTTTTTTTTTTTTAAAGGAAGCATTGGATTTATTGAGGTAGACACAAAATTAATAGTCTCCTAAGCACTCTATCTGCAAAGGTAATTTAATACAGAATTGCAGATTGCAGTTTGGGCTGTTAATATAGGATGATTTCCATTTAATTTCTCTTTTCTTCCTTGCCCTGTCAAGCAGATGCAAAATCTCATTTGTCTTCCCCAGTATCAATAAAATAATATACACACAAGCGCGTGCTTTGACAAAAATCTCATGTATTTTTGCACATGGAATGTATCACTGAATTTCTGAAAAAAAAAAAATAAAATCATCATTGTATTGCAAATAAAATGCAAATTGAAATTCAGCATTTCTCCCCATCAAACAGTCATAGTGCATGCTTGCCAGACTTCTGTGTACCTCCAAATGACAGATTCATGGATGGTGTGTGCATGTGCTACATACTCAGCACATGAGCTGAACAAGCCATTCCTCTCACCACGTACTAAAGCACAGGAGCACAGCATGATGTACACAGAACACATGCATACCCATTTGGGAGCAGTAGATGCCTTGAGATGACTTCTGAACTATTATGAATAAAACACAAATAAGACATTCTGCTGAACAATTTTGCCAACCTGATTACTTTGAAGCCTCTAGAAAAATTAAATTCATTACCAGGTATAATGAGATCACTGAGATTTGAAAATTTAAAAGTGATCATGACTAGGAACTTAGCTAGCATGCTCTCTCCTCTACCTTATTAAAGTCACAGGATTATTAGGCGTCTGATTAGACAGAATATTCAGCATTTCTACAGTCTTCCATTTTTCTTAATCAATTGAGAGAATAAGAGCTTTCTACTTCCTGCGCTTTTTATTCAGTCACAGGAGCTAATTTTACAAAACAAGTAGCAACACACAGTTGATTATCTGAGAGAAAAACCTAGAGCTAAAATGTATTTCACACACATGCAGTGTTGTACACTCAACAGAGGGCACACAGCCACAGGCAGCCCTGCTTAGGACCATGGAAAAGGTGGAAGACTTTTGTTTCAGAACATGGCTTGGCTAGGTCAACAGGCTTTAGCAGCTGTCATTCCTCAGCCATTTGCTGTCACTTATGGGTTACTTAGCTGCACCCCCTTTGTACTTCTTATTCTTATATATCCCTGTAGAGAGTTCAGAGCAGTTTGCTCTCCAAGCTTTGGACATTTGTTGGTCTTGATAAGAAATCCTCCTAAGTGGAAGGAAGAAAGAAGCCTGCTTCCTCAAGCAGTTCAAAATGCCTCAAAACTCGTTCAAAATACAGCAAACTCTTTTACTGTGATTGCAGCTGGGCTCCTCAGCCAAAATCAGACACAAATGTTACATCTGAGAGAGTACGCAACCCCCAGATGCCTGGCCAGGTTTGCATTCTGGAGGAGGTTGTTGTTGTTGTTAAAGTGCTGCCAAGATCCATCAAAGCAGTGGTCTGCCTTTTGATCAAGGTCAAGGGTGATCCCCACATGGTGATGCACAGCATACATAGCAGAAATCACCTAAATCGCAGGGTTCATGCTTCAGTAGAATTTGAATTTATGGTGAAATTTAGATTTATAGTATGGGAAATGTAGTACAAGTGTTGGTAGTATTTCAGTGAATAATTTTTCAATTATCAAATCAATGTCAACTGTGTAAATAATAATAAACACTTTTGATGCATTGAATATGAAGTATCTTCATAGGCTTTCTTTTATCTTCCTAGTAGTGTGCACTAATACTGCAGAGCTGTGATTCAGAATTAATGCCCAGATCTCTATACCTTTATCTTTTTCTTTTATGTTTAATGATGGCAATGTATCCCTGCTTCTTCCTTCTAGCTTTGCAGGCACTTCACATACATTTCTCTGGTTATAAAACATTAGATACTGCCCATCTTTACCATATGAGGATTAATGAGTCATTTTGAGGGCAGTCTTCTCAAGGGCAATTCCTGCTGAGCAGTTATTTGTATCCTGAGCCCAGAGGCAGGATGGATCTTCTGTGCATTTGAACAAAGAGCTGGCATACCACCATGAAAGTGTCTGTGTTGCTTTATAAGGAACCCCTGGGTGTAATAACAGGGAGTCTAGCAGAGGAAGCAGGGTAGCGGTGCAGAGGGTTCCTGAAAGAAGTGGCTTAATTGCTTTACTTTATGTTCTTTGAAGCAGAAAAATGCTTCTGGCTAGTCATTCAGAACAGAGTAGGTAACAAGCCTGTTGAAATTCACACTGAGGAATATAAAGTATCATAGGGAAGAGTCACTCTTGTCACCAGTTTTCCTCTTAAGTGTAAATGAATCATCCCATGAGGCAAACAGCTGTGTCAGGATTATAGGAAGTGTAAATTCCTATCTGCAATGTTTTATATCTGTACAGCTGTGAAACTAGAAACATTCACCTTCTGCTCTGGAATTATTCTCTCTGCTCAAACTCCCAAAACAGAAGGAATCTATCTGGTGCTGAGGTGCAGTACATTGTGCTACTTATCATTTGAAGTCATGGTCAGAGATCCGCCTCCCTAGATGTACTTCAAGCTGTAAAAAATCTTTCTAATTCCCCGAGTGAAAAAGTTATAGAATAGCATATCACCAGAATTTGTACAATCTCATTTGAAACAACTGACTATCAACAATATTAGGAAAAAAGTAAAGTGGGGAGGATATTCAAGGGAAGTTAACTGATAGCCCTGAATAAACTCCTCATTTTTAAGAACTTACATGTAACCCCTAGCTCTGCACTCTCAAGGAATATCTCAGCAACACCAGGAACTTTGTGGCCTGCATTTCACCTTCTCAGTGCTGCAGCAGTCTGCAAGGTGACTGGGAAGGTAAGCAGACCGCATGTGCAGAACCAGACCACTAAAGTGTTCAACTAAACTCTCATCCCAGAGCCTCATGCCTCTCCAGTTCTAGCATCTTCCTAGGAAGAAGCATGTTCCTCTTCAGATGTTTGTCTCTTTGAAAGGTCAGGTTTTATGTACAGTTGTCATGACTGGATCAAAAGATATCTACATAAAAAGAAGCAAGGCCATGTCCTTTTCCTCAAGGATGAGGAGCTGAATTTTCAATGCCTTTCATATGAGCTAGGACCTGATAGCTAGGACCAAGATAATATATGAAGTTGGGAAGAAGGACAGATTATTGGTACAATTAAATTTTTTAAAATTTAATTTTAAAGTCCTGAATCCAGCCTAAGTGATGTCTGGAAATAATTGCTCTGGGTTTTAAATTAATTATGTTAATCAATGGCACAGCAACAAGTTTTGGAGAGAAATTAAAGAACCATGGCGCAAAGAGAAGTACAAGTCTACAGGGTTATTCACCCTCACCTATCAGAGTGAGGCATATGGATAATTATCACCCACAGAGGACTGAGAAGTAGGAGGAATTTCATGGCACACCCTTTCTGTTGAGGTGTGAGCATCTGCTGAAGAGGACAGAAGGGTCAAGGTCATGAAGGAGAACATAATCCCAGAAGAATGCCCATAAAGACCTGGCACTGAGCTGGATAGTGAAGATGGAGCAAAGGCTGTGTGTACTTCAGGTCACCCAGGGCAGCAGGAGCCAGCTGTGTGCTGGGGGAGTGCTCTGGCCCTCCCCAGTTGCTCCCTTCTGCTGCTCCACCTTCTTCTCTGTGTCAGCACAACTCTTGGTGCAATTATTCAATCATCTGGCAGGGAACAACAGAGACAACTAATCTGGGTCACATTATGCCAGAAAAAGAAAGGAAAGAAAAAAAAAAAAAACCTCAAATTTTCCAATTTGAGTTCACAGCGTGGCTGTCCAGGTTCTTGTCCCTTCATAGGCAAAGTGATGGCATGGGATAAAGGAAGGCTTTGAGTGTCAGTTCTGGCTTAGGGCAGCTTAAAGCATTTGTGGATTTATAGGCTATGATAGCCCAAAGTAGCTGCAGGAAAAATCTCTTGGCTGTCTGGGATGGTGGCAGGAGAGATTTTTGAGATAACTTATGTAACACTAAGGATTAAGAAATATGTATAGCCTTATGTTTCAGAGGATATGGGAAAGTAAAGGAAAAGGGAGTGCTCAGTGGCTGGGGAGCACAGAGATGCCTAGGGCTGCACTTTGTGCTCCCCCAGAGCCTGTAGTGCCCAGGTGCATGAGCTGGGACTGCACACCCACGCAGTCCCGTGCTCCACGCCGCTGAGCACACGACTGAACGAAGCTGCCAGGTGGGCACGAGCCCGCGGCTCAGCGGGGCTGGTGCCACCCACGCGCCCCAAGGGCTCGCGGGGCACCGCCGGCGGGTGGCTGCGCTGCCAGCGCTGCACTTTCAGGTGTAGCTCCCTGTCAGCCCTTGTCCATCTGAGGTAGATAATTCCACTGTAGGAGTTTCCATGGCCTGTGGGATTTGCTTTGATTGGTTGTTTCCTGGGTGTGTTGGCTATCTGGTTAGTCAACTTGTCTGGGGGGCTTTGAGATGCAAAAATATGTGAAATATTAAATAAGTCCCAATT